ACACACACATAGTAACTACTTACAAAGTCCTGAGCTTAGGCATATGGTTGAAACTGGCCACAGAAAGTCTGGTAATGTTGTTATTGTTGAGAGTGCTGTAGAATAAAAAAACAGTTAAACATTTTAGACCTGAAATATAGTAATCACTCTATTATGAATATAAGGAAAAGTTCTAGTGATTAAATCTATACAAAACAACTACCTGGTGGAAATGGCATAGAGCATGCACTCTGTTATAGACAAGATGGTAAATGAATTGTGTATCTAACGTATCACCACGCACTCAGTTTTACCAAACACTTCTTACAAATGCCTGGCTTTAGCCACAGGATCTTTACTATTTGCAAGTTGCTCGATGGTCCCTGTGCCTGCCCGCAGGTCTGTTTACGACAAACGAGCGAGAGACCGTCACAGCTGGAAACGTTAAGTTGTCACGATTCCTGAGGGGTATTACGTATAATTAGCGCCCGTGAGTAAATGAGCATGTCTGAAAGCTCCAACTGAGCTCTCCTGTCAACGGCACGGAGCCGGTCCTGCCAGGTCCCGACGCAGAGTCCTGCTGGTTAGCACTCGCCGCAGACGTCAGCCGCTGCTGACGTTTGAGGGGTAGGAACGAGTGGATATTTGGTCCTTGCACTGGGCGGAGATGAAGTGACATTCGGTACACTATATCAAGAGCTTGATATATTCTCACACTGTTTAGTTGCAACCACACGCACTGTCCTTTTTTCAAAGCTAAACGGTAACGATCATGGCTTCATGAGATATGGTGAAAATAGTATAATTCTTGCCGGGTTCAGCCTTGTCCTACTTTCCTCCTAACAAGCAGCGTTACTTGTGTTATTACTATTTCGACTACTACTGCTACTCATTCACTCATTCACCCACTATTCCATGAGTCGCTCTTATTTTATGGCAATGTGGAATGTTCTATAAATAACTCAGGCATAGAACTTGTCTGAAAATAGCAGAGAGTCCAACTGGCGAGATGAATTACGCAAGTTACAGACACTTAGAGTTAATAAGATTAAGAAGAGAAAAAAAAATGTTTTCTCCCTTGGGAGAAGTCTCTGTGACAAGAAAATGGGAAGACAGTTGTCCTGGGGGTGGGCGCAGTGTGGAGCCGGAGCGGGGTTCCAGCACATGGGAGACGCGGGAGGGCGCTGACGCTGCTGAAGGAGCAAGAAAGATGAGCAGCAGGCGGGCACGCAGGGGGACACCGTGACCCTGGAGAAGGGGGTGAATCAGAGCCTGCCAACTCGCTGGCCTACAGAGGCCAGGCAGGGGACACCCTGGATACACAACACACAACGGGAGGAGAGGGGCCGAGCAGCGCACAGCTGGGGCCCGGGAGGCCTGGAAACGGGCGGCGCTGCTCCTGGCCCGAGCGTTCGCGTGCGGCCTCCGGGCCGCGGCTCGGCCGTGACGGGAGGCGGCCCACAGCCCGCTTTTCTCAAGAAGCTGGAGCTGGGCATGTTCGGATCAATCCTCCTCACTTCCAAATCCTGGCAACCAGCGCGAATATTCCAAAGAGTCCCTGGGCCAAGTCTGCTTGGGCAAAGTAAGGGACGTCTGTGAGGCGACGCTGGGGCAGCTGGTGGCTGCAGTTGTTCCTGGTGGCACGCGGGGTGCTCAGGAGCTGAGGGATTAGCTGTGATGTCTCGGTAGAGTAGGGCACAGCAGCTACATATCTGGGACACGCACCGACTCTTTACTCTCCAGTTTTGCAGTGTATTGAATGATGTAAGAACTAATCCGAGTGATTTGAATTAAGTCACATAGAAAAAAAAACAACACCAACCCAGGACCCATAAAGCACTAAGCTGGTTGGCTCATGTCATCTAAAAGCCTGTAGCATTTTCCATGTACTCAAGCGAAATGAGATTTTTCTTCAAACGCCACTGAAATATACCCTGATGTTTGCACTAAAAGGTTTCCCATCTCAAAGGGATTTGCTTTCCAATGACCCCTTTCCCTGCCCTAAAAATTTATGCTGACTTTATGTAGCAAAAATCTTCAGAGTACATAGCACACTAAAATGTGACTTGGGGGATAAGATATTTTTTAAAGCAATTCAATGCCACAGACACACGTTAACTTGGAACTATAATTCCTTATGATTCCACACAAAACGGCTTCACTTAGTCCTGAAGCCGGTGGCTATGAATTTGAAGTCTCCTCTCAAAATGTTAGTTTGCATAATGCAAGCGGAGAAATAAATTATCTTAATATTTCTGTTCGGTATTGATGTCGGCAAAGCAATATTGATACTGAGACCTAGTAATGGAGCAGTATGTGGAACCAATGAAATTGTATTTACAAATTAATAATAAATATGCGTTGATTAGTTATGAGACACGTTTATGTCATGGTCGTGAAAAAGTCCACTTCCATGCTCAACCTCAAGATTTTTCTCTTCGTAATGAGAATGTATTCTTGTACAAAGGATACCTTTGTACGGAAATACAAAACTTCAGTCTTGCTAATTACGTAGGCCCTCCTGGACTTACATCTTGACTCATTTTTTTCTTACTCCCTTAGTCCCAGGCATAAGATTTGGCAGAGCCTGATATTTAATAGATATGAATCACCGTGTTTCAATTAAATTATGTGCATTGTATAGAAAAGAAGAAAACCTACCTAACACTAGCAACTCAAGGGATATATTCCATTTCTAGTCCAGCATCCAAAGAGAAAGAAAACAGTGATCTAGATTTAATTTCCAATGTTATTTTTGAGATGGTATCTTCATATTTTGAAAAAAAAAGTTCTAAATCCCACCAACCAGAATTCCACGATAAGGCCATGAACATACAAGTGATAAACGGCCTCCTTGCTTCCCCTGCTCCAACTTTTCCTTCTTGAACTTCACTCTCTCTACCTCGATATACATCCTAATCTACCAAATTCTGCCAGTGGCCCTGGGTCATCACTCCCATCTTCTCTTGTTGGCCTCAGAATATTCACACATTCACAAATGGCTCATGGAATTAAAGTTTTAAAAACTCTAAACCATTGGGAGTCTGAAATTTAAGGTGGTGTGCAAATTAATGCTCCTTCATTATTTCCACATAATGAGACAATCTAACCTAAAGAGTTATGATTGGTAAAAATAAGCAAAGCAGAGAACAAACCTCCCAGAACCCTTCAGAAGTCAGCTCTATAAAAAAGCCCCTGACGACATTTTTATAACAGGTGACCTTTCGATTTATGTGACAAGGTATTTGGGCTCAGTAAATTCCAGTGTTTGCAGAATTTCATTCAATTTTTCCTTAAATTCTTCATCAACTAATTTCTCTAAGGTTATACGAATTATAAGGATTTAAAAGTTAGCATATAGTAAAAGAATGTGTGCTTGACGTTATAAAATTTTTAACATAAAATGTTTAAATCATTTTGAAATTCATATTATTTTATATCATGTGCTAATTATATCTATTCTTTTTTTTTTTTGCAAACTCTGACTATTATGTATCCATTTGAGACCTACAGATTAGGTCCTCAAAAGAGTTTTCCACAGTTTAGATTTAGATTTTAATTCCATGAACCATAAAATGTTTATTACTCTTTGGCGTGTTTGTAATAGTAGGTCTTTCTAAAGTCACTTTTTAGATATTTTGCTAACACAACGTACAAAATGAATGGGGTGATTGTGTTTTCATAAATTTACTGCTTTTTGAAAGCAGTGACATTAGTTTATAACAAATAAGCAAACAAATAGTTATTGTATTTATGGGTAGAGGAATTTTAATGCCAAACACCCTGCTTGGCGCATAGCAGGTTTTTTTCCCCACCCTATCTATCATCTATCATCTATCGTCTATCTATCTATCTATCTATCTATCTATCTATCTATCTATCTATCTATCTATCTATCATCTATCTATCTATCTATCTATCTATCATCTATCTGTATCATCTATCATCTTTTGTTTGTATTCTCTGTCTTTTTCTATAGAGTACTTAACATATACTCAACATATTATATGTGAATTATTCCATATAAATTTACTTAAACTCTTAATAACAAAGTACTTTATGGAATTTTAATTTATCCAAAATACTCAGCAAAATTTCTACAAAATGACTGGTAGCATTCATATTCCTGTTAGGAGCACTGACTTAGTATCAAGTTTTTTGGCTTGATCAACTCCGCTGAGTTAACTAATACCTGCTGTAGTCTCTTTATACACAAAGTTCAGCGCCGCGGGCGACGGTCTTGACACCCGACTACCACCACACAGTCATAGCTGTATCCTAATTATTCTGATTCTGAGTGAGCACCAGTGAGCTTCGTATATTAAAATGGGCTCTGGAACACAATTTTAAAAGTAGCCTTATAACTACACTGTGTATGATCAGCGCTTTGAGTATTTTTCCTGTAGAAAAAGTTAGACTGTTATCAACAGAAACCAAGGTGACTTCTCATGTGGTTAGAGAACAGCACATATTCTTATAACATGGTTTATCTCAACGAACTCATCCTCACATAAGCCTTTAAAAATAATTAAAACAACATCACACGACGCAGCTAGAAATTCTATTCGTGCACTCACAATTAAAATCAAAACCATACAGAAAATATAACTAAAAGAAGTCAATCTGATTGAAACATTAAACTTTTTTCAGAATTACATCCTGTCCCTCAAACTCAATTCCTAAAGCAATGGAATCTCTCTTTCGGGAGGATTTCAGGATTCCCGGAAAACTTTTACCACCTGGACTAAAAATTCAACACTTCTTTACATTTAATTCAATTTTGGATTTCTGACTAAATTGAGTCAGGGATGAATTAGAGCACGGAAAAATATTTTCTATGGGGAGAAATGCGTAAGTATGCTTAAGAAGCTGGAAATGTGGGTCTTTGGGGAAAAATGCCAGAAACGTACAGGCGGCTTCACTGGCTTTAGGAACTCTAGTTTTCATTGAAAGTATTTTTATAATAGNCTGGAAATGTGGGTCTTTGGGGAAAAATGCCAGAAACATACAGGCGGCTTTCACTGGCTTTAGGAACTCTAGTTTTCATTGAAAGTATTTTTATAATAGTTAATCATTTAATTTCAATTAGGTTGCTGTTGAAGGTCTGTGGAGATTACTAAGGAAAGAAAGAGGCTGCCAGTTACAGCCCAGACCTGGGCGTCGCGCTTTGCCAAGTCAGGAGCGAAGCCTCTAGTGGACCTAATGGGCGGCTTATTAAAATTAGAGCATCCGTGTCAGAAGAACCTTGCAAAAACGACGCTAAGTTCTCTGGTTAAAAATGACATCTTACAGTGAGAAGACATCTTTCCACTGCACAGCCACTACAAGACTCACCCACATATCACCTACTGAGGTTTATTTTTTTGTTGTGTTTTTTCCTACATGACTGATGTTATCTTATTACCTAGCAATCCTAGGAATTCTCACAAACCCCCTGAATGAGAATATTTTATTGTAAGAAGAAACACTTCAAGGACGTTAGGTGTGAGCAGTGGGGTGCCCTCCTGAAGCAGACAATGTTCCCTGAGCGTTCAGCCACGATGCACAAGGCTTTGCACACACACACTTGGACTCTGCCCTGTCTCCACCACGAGTTATTTAGGGCGTCCCTTTAGGAGACCATTTTGACACTAGGTTTTAAGCTACCAGATAAGCTTCCATCTCAGCACTCCCCGGACACAAAGCTCCCGTTAGGAGTAAGAGAAATGAGAGATACTTACAGCACTTCCAGGTCCCGGAGAGCCCTGAATGCCCCGTCTTCTATACAGCTGATCTGGTTGTAATCCAGCTGCCTGTTAAATAGGTTAGAAGAAGACACGTAAAAGGCTGAAGGCTGGCAGGGTTAGGGGAGGGAAGTCCCCTAAGTGTCTATGAAGCCCCGGCTGCGCTAACCGAGCCGGTCTCACAAATCCACTCATCTGCTTAAGAATGTCACGAGCCACTCTGGCCTCGATGCCGCCACTGAAATCTCTTTTTGTTCTGGACTCTGTGCAAATAGCAGCCCTTGGAAAGCTCCTGTAAATAATAACTGCACCTTATATTAAATGCCATAGGAATGCAATTTCATTACATCAAGAAAAGCTATCCATTAAGAGCTTTCAGCGTCATCTTGGTGAAACAATTTCATTAAGGTAAAGGACTGTAAATCACTTAATGTCACACGCACCCCCTCAGTGACCTAACGGAATCCATTTATCAGAGGAGCCCAGCTGCATGTTAATTTCACTATCCTTGGCAAGGAAGCGCAAGGCGACTTGTAGGTTGTCGTCTTTTAAAAGCAGTTTTCCTTCGAGAACTCCACATCAGGAAAGAGAAACGAGGCCCCACAGATCTTCCTGTCGTCCCGAACAGGAAGACACTTGAGAAAGCTACAGTTGTTCTATTTTAAGCCTCACTCTGTCCACAATTTGCATCGTTTATTAGTATATGCGAAGGCTCGGCGCTGTAAATACGGGCGTACTTCTCAGCGAAGGAACTTCCTGTATGATACCACTCTCCAGGAAATAAGTGTTTGAAGTATTAGGAAATTAATAAAAATGTTTGCTTTTCTCAAAGATGCGAATTTTAGCCCAAACCCCGACAAAACACATACTGCAGCAGCAGCAGCATTAAAACACGACCCACATCTACAGTAAAAAGTTTAAAACCTGGATCAGTTCCTCCTGAATAACACAAAATTCAAACAAATGAATCTCTCTTGCCGTTTAGGCATGCATTTGTTAAAATTCAAAGATGAAAAAAAAAAAAAAAGGCCTCTCCAAAGTTGGTTAAGTCTGCTTTTCCTGCCACTTGTTTTTGGAATTAAAACTTCCTTATTTACACTAAGGAATTTACTTCGTTAAAATGAATGGCTAAGTCCTAAATCCTACCTGTCCTTTTGTTTTTTCCCCCTAATAAGCAGTGTTTAAATCTAGTAGCTTGCTGCTTAGCNGTCCTACCTGTCCTTTTGTTTTGTTTTTTTCCCCCTAATAAGCAGTGTTTAAATCTAGTAGCTTGCTGCTTAGCGATATTATCATTCCAGTAAAAAAAAAGTATTGTAATGCTTCACTTGAGATAGACACCGAATGTTTGATGAAATAATCAGAAGAGTTGTCAACTCCATATGAAGATGAGCAGAGGTGAGACTATGATCAGAGTGCAGCTGAATCTTGTCCTTGTTTCAAGCTCGGAATTCACCAAAAGGGCTGAATTAATTCATATCTGAGGTCTGTTCGTGAAACAACTGTTTAAACATTCCCATAGAAGAAGCTGTTTCTCTCATAAACTCCTGAAAAAAGGTGCAGTGATTCAACCCAGAGGGGACTCTTTGAATTTCTTACTTTGGAAATTATGTACCTAGAGACTGTCTCATGAAATATACATCTCATTTTACGAAGGTCTCTAGGGGACATAACCGTACAGGAGACTCCCTTGATGTCATGCAAATGGAACAATCTAGGACATGCAATAGAAAAACAGGCAAACTCCGGAGAAGATGCAATGTTATTGCTTTTATAAACTAAGGCTTTCCCTAAATAATAGCTACCATCCATGCTACTGTAACAGCCTAAAGCATTTCTACTTGTTGGAAAGTAATGCAGAAGTGAAATTTTTTTTCTAAGGCGATTTTACAGCCTCATGATCTAATACGGCTGCTGCAGTTTCCAGAAAACACGTACATTCTTGAGCACTTTTGATTTCCACAGATTAAATTCATTTAACAATTAAGTTAATACCCTTTTTATTTTAAAGTGCTAAATATATATCTCTACACTACTATTCTCTAACCTCTCGAACAATTTATCAAAGCCATTTAACTTAGGACAATGACATGAAGTGTTACCCCTGACACACGACAAAAGAGAAATTGTTTCCAGACAAATTGGCAAAATCTTTTAATGCTATCAAATTTGCCTAATGCAGTCTCCAGGTTAATCCGTAAAAGGGTGAGTGGTATGTTTGCCCATATCTTAATATGCCTGGCTGTCAATGTATAAATCAGTGCTGACAAAGCTCCTTTTAAATCATGCATACTGTCCACAGAGGGGAGGCCCTGCACGCCCCGGAGCACGCAGGCAAACCCTGTCCCGCAAGAACGGGAGGCCGGGTACCTCACGTCTGCCCCCGGAAGCCGAGAGGCTGCTGGGAACTTGGTGATTGTCACTCTTTGGCATTGTTCATGGTGACATGCTTTTGATTCTTAGCAGAAATCTAAGCCCTTATTGGTGCTAAAACATTAAGACTACTTGGCTCTCTGAGGACCAGAGTTTTCCTTAAAAGTTTTCTGAATGTCGTCCTATCTCTGCCCATAGACCTTCTGAAAACAAAATTATTTCATGAAAAAGTGACCTATGAAAGGGCCAATCAAAATCAAAATGAATGACTTTTTCATCAACTGGTGGATTTTATTCTGTTCAAACGAATGTTTACGGAAAGAGCTGTGCATTACTGCTCATGAGAAAATCTCTCTGCATAAACCTCCATTTGTCTGCCCAGGATTCAAGATAAACAGTGTCAAAACTATGCAAAAGCGTAATTTATTTCAGGGGTTCTGGACTATTTTCCTGCACCTCGCTTTTCTTGCCCGGCCCACTTCCCTCCGCCCTCCCTTTCCAACCCCGGGCGCTCCTGCTTTCTATAAACAGAAAGGCTCTGTTGTCCGCCAGGCACTTAGAGGCAGGCTGCCCCGTTCACGTGAGGTTCCCACTTGTGCCACGGAATTATTCTGAATTAAGGAATTAGTAATGGGAAAGCTTTGTCTTTTCCCCTCTCCAAAAAGTAATGTCACAACTATTCAGCCAGACACAGTGTAAATCTGCTGATTTTTGGATACTAAAGGCACTGGGTACCTAGCGAAAGCTTCGGGGAGCCCTCCTGGCACAGGGGCCACACCGGTGGAGGAAGCAGGCTACCACTTTTCTGATCTTCTCGGAAGAAGAAAATGGCATAGATAATATTATCGGTAGTTTCTTTCAGACCCTCAGCTGACATATGCTAGCACAGGCTTTTGTGTCTTATTTTCCTACCTCCGATCCCCCTTCTGTTTAAATTCCAGACCTCCTCTCCACCCGATCCTTGACTGCCCTGGCCTGTAAGTGTGTCTTGATGCAATTGCTGTATCTTTAATTTCATGAAAATGGCAATATTAAAAAGAACAGAGGAGCTTCAAGACCTCTCTCGGCACTAAGCTCCTGTGATTCTCTTCAGCGATAACCACTCTCCGTGTGATGCTCCAGAATAACTCCAGATGCCCGTTTCAATTTTTCCTTGAACGGCTAAATTTAGCCTCAGACAACACACCGTCTCTATTTAGAGATGTAACTCTCCGTGCCTCACAAACACCAAATTTCTAAAGCTGATCTGATTTTAACACTAAAAATAATTTAGCCTCGTTTCAGATTTTGATCAATTCTAGGTATGAGAGACAATATATAATGTTGCTAAATATAAGTTTTTAAAATAGATACACTAAATGACAGAAAAGGTAAAACACTGCTAACCTGGCATTCTGAAATACAGTTGGAGACACGGCATTCTGTTACTTTTAAGTTTTTTTCAGGGATCTCTTATTTTAATTTTTCAAAGTTTGGATACCATACTATGTTTGAGTTAGACATATAAAACTTTCCTTCCTAAATCACCCTCAGCTGATTTTCTCCTTACCCACAGAAAATCCATATTTCACCTCAATATCTTATTAATACTTGATTTTTTTTTAAAGAACTAGAACATAATAAACTATTCTTAACTCTGAAACAATACAGAACATAAAAAATCTTTAATAATTTCTAAGTGAGGCAGATTCCCTCAATGTCTCAGTAAAATTATTATGACTCTGCTCTGGTTTTCCAGGGTTTTTTTAAGGTACAAGAAATACAAGTTCAGTTCCTATTTCTATTGTAAGATGGCAAACTCCAGAAATTTAGCTGACTTAAAATGCATCAGAGTCGTAAGGACCAATACGAGGGAATAAGAAAACTGTGCTATTTGGAAACAGAGCATATGAATTACACAGGAGAAAAAGAAAAAAACTGCTGTTAAGGTTAAGGTTAAGGATATGGCACGATCCGCCTGCTCTTGCCTTGCCTGTGTAATTCAAGTCGGTCTGAGCGCCTGAGCCTGCACATCTCACACAAATAATGATTGTTTAAGAGGCAGCCCAAGACTTAAGGTATCGTGCACAGAAGCGTAAGAATTATGTACATGGGTCCGTGTAAATGAACACGCTGGACGCAAGTTTCAGCGATTGCATCGTTTACCTGGGCACAAAGGCCCATCGTGTTAACCTGGGTATTGGGGGGGAAACCAAGATACGGACTGTGAGCCACGCAAAATAGCTTCCATGATTTGTGAAGTTAACCTTTTTGCCACCTTTCAAGCAACATTTTGTTGCTGTTGTTTTTGATAGGAATGAAGAATTTCAGGTTTTATTGAAATAATCTATGGAATAAAGTTGCATCCGATCGTCAGTTTACTGGGAGGAAGCAAAAGGTGGCTTTAAGAGGGACGGTAACGGGAAATGAACGAAAGACAGCTAAGTTGACCTTCATGTTCGGGTAACTCTGCAAAATGAGCAAAGGTGGGAGAAACTAAAACTGGTTATAATTGCAAACAGTTATAATTAGCAAATACTTGGTCCTGTTCAAAACACCTGGGGAGACACTTGGTACAAGGCAAACCATGCACCTCGCCCAGTGATTTTCAACCTTTTTCATCTGATGATACACGCAAACTAATTACTAAAATTCTGTGGTACACCAAAAATATATACTTTTATGTTGATTTGACAAAAAATAGGTATTATTATTATTAT